GGCTGGGCCCGTGAGCCATGGCCGCTGAGCCTGCGTGTCCGGAGCCTGTGCTCCGCAACAGGAGAGGCCACAGCAGTGAGAGGCCCGAGTACCGCAAAAAAAAAAAAAAAAAAAAAAAAAAAAAGAACCCCAACCCTCATTAAATTCAGCCTTCTACCTAACCTTTGCCTGCACCCATGACTGGAGAACACTCAGGCGTCCTGAACGATCTCCCTTTACCCTCATGATCATTAACCTCAAGAGGGCCCTCAGTGCTGCCGAGCAGTCACATTCATTTTTCTAGTCCATTCACTCTTCTCCTCTCTTAAAATGTCTTGTACCTCCTTTTCTGTCCTCACATCCCCAAAACCTCTTCCCCATCCTTCCTCTCAGCTGGTGACAATCTTGCTGACTTTTTCACTGGGAAATAGAATGAGTCAAAAATAAAGTCTAGAGGGAACTTTAGAGATGTTCTATATCTTGTTGAAGATGGTGGTTGCTGAGTATATACATTTGACTGAATTCATGGGGCAGTGCAGTTAAAACCTATGCATGCTATCGTATGTAAGTCACATCTCAATAAAAACGAAAAATAGAGAAAGAACTTCCATAAGTTCCAGCCACTGCATAAACCCACATAGCTATAACTGGGCCCATGTACTGTCTTGATGCTCAGGGTGAATGTTCCACACTCTTAGATATAAGGCCAACTCCTCTACTTTGTCACTTGCTTCCATCACTCCAGCAATTCTCTCTTCTCCTTTCTGTTTCATCAGTTTTTCCCTTTGTTGGGTGATTCCTATCAGCCTGGAAAGGTATTATTATTTCTTCCACTTTAAAACAGCATCCCCTCCCCCTCAAAAAAAGAAAACCCTCTCTTTTTTTTAAATATCTTTATTGGAATATAATTGCTTTACAATGTTGTTAGTTTCTGTTGTACAACAAAGTGAATCAGCTATATGTATACATATGTCCCCATATCTCCTCCCTCTTGAGCCTCCCTCCCACCCTCCCTATCCCACCCCTCCAGGCGGTCACAAAGCACCGAGCTGATCTCCCTGTGCTATACGGCTGCTTCCCACTAGCTATCTGTTTTACATTTGGTAGTGTATATATGTCCATGCTACTGTCTCACTTTGTTCCAGCTTCCCTGTCCTCCCCTGTGTCCTCAAGTCCATGCTCTACATCTGCGTCTTTCTTCCTGCCCTGCCACTAGGTTCATCAGTACCATTTTTTTATATTCCATATATGTGCATTAGCATACGGTATTTGTTTTTCTCTTTCTGACTTACTTCACTCTGTATGACAGACTCTAGGTCCATCCACCTCACTACAAATAACTCAGTTTCATTCCATTTTATGGCTGAGTAATATTCCATTGTATATATGTGCCACATCTTCTTTATCCATTCATCTGTCGATGGACACTTAGGTTGCTTCCATGTCCTGGCTATTGTAAATAGAGCTGCAGTGAACATTGTGGTACGTGACTCTTTTTGAATTATGGTTTTCTCAGGGTATATGCCCGGTAGTGGAATTCCTGGGTCATATGGTAGTTCTATTTTTAGTTTTTTAAGGAACTTCCATACTGTTCTCCATAGTGGCCGTATCAATTTACATTCCCACCGACAGTGCAGGAGGGTTCCCTTTCTCCACACCCTCTGCAGCATTTAATGAGAAACCCTCTCTTGATTCTACTTCCCTCTCCAGTTACTGCTCCATTTTTCTCCTCCCCTTTGCAGTAAAATTCCTCAACGTAGTTGCCTGTATTCACTTGTGCCCGTTCTTCCTCTCTCATTCTCTCTTGAAACCACAATAATAAGTCTTTAGCTTTTCTCCACTCCTCAGAAACTGCTCTCGTCAAGGATGGCAGTGACTCCACGTGGTCTAGTGGCCAGTTCTCCGTCTTTAACCCTGTGACTTTTTTTTTTTTTCTTTTTGGCTACATTGGGTCTTGCTGCCTGCAGGCTCTCTAGTTGCGGCGAGTGGGGGCTGTTCTTCTTCGTTGAGGTGTGTGGGCTTCTCATTGCTGTGGCTTCTCTTGTTGTGGAGCACGAGCTCTAGGCACGCAGGCTCAGTAGTTGTGGTTCAGAGGCTCTAGAGTACAGGCTCAGTAGTTGTAGCACACGGGCTTAGGTGCTCTGTGGTATGAGGGATCTTCCCGTACCAGGGATTGAACCTGTGTCCCCTGCATTGGAAGGCGGATTCCTAACCACTGTGCCACCAGGGAAGTCCTAACCCTATATGACTTAACATTTGACACTGTTGATAACTCTCTGTCCTTGACATTTTTCTTCACTGTCTTCTAGGAAAGGTTGCTGCTGCATTTCTTCTTACCAAGCTGGCCGTTCCTTCTCAGTCTTCTTTGTTCATCTCTCCTCATCTCCTTGACTTTTTAATGACATGGTGTCCCTGTGCTTCCTCTCCTTTGTTTATACTCACTGCCTTCATGATCTCATCTAACCTGTAACTTTACATACCATATATATGCTATTGACCCCCAAATTGTTATTTGCAGTGTGGAACACTCCTCTGAACTCTAGACTCAGCCAATCATGTATTTGACACCTTCACTTGGATGTCTAATGGAACCCAAACTTAATGCATTCAAAACCAAAATCTGGGGGACTTGCGTTACCAGGTGAAGACTTATTATAAAGTTATAATAATTAAGACAGCATAGATGTAAAAATAGACAAGAAGTCCAATGGAATCAAATAGTAAAGCAAGAAACAGACCCATACATCCAGGGAAACCTTTCATATAACAGAGCTATCAATCTCATTGGAGATTGTGGGGGAAAGAGAGAAATAACTCAAAAAATGGTGCTAGGGCAATTAAACATCCATACGGGAAAAATGAAAATGGACATCTTCCTCACATGATAGCCAAAGTCAGTTCTAGATGGATCAAGAACTTAGTATGGAAGGCAAAACTTTGAAGATTTTAGAAGACAATAGAGATGAGTATCATTATGCCCTTGGAGTAGGGAATAATTCCTTAAGAAACAAAAAGCACAAATCGTAAATTGATAAATTTGATTTCATTAAATTTTAGTATTTCTGGTCATCAGAAAACATAAAACTCAAAGACAAGCTACATATTGGGAAAAGATATTTGCATCATATATAAGTGACAAAAAATTAGAATTCAGAAGGTATTAAGAATAACAAAAGGAAAAAGAATAACCCAATAGAAAAATGGAAAAAAGTCAAGAATAGGCATTTTACAGAAAAGGATATATATGAAAAGACACTCAATTTCTTTAGTTATCAAGGAAATTCGTACTAACACAATGAGATACCATTTCATGCTTGCCTAATGGCAAAAGTAAAAAGTCAGCTACTTTCAAATGCTGGCTTTGGTATGGATAGTGGGAATTCTCGTGCATTGATGGTTGAGGGCAAATTGTTACAGCCATTTAAGAAAATAGTCTGACAGTACTTAGCAAAACTGAATATGTATGTGCCCCCAAGATTACAGAAAAACTCTTGCACATGTGCACCATGTACAAGAATGCTTGTAGCAGAATTGTTTGTGATCGTGTGTGTGTGTGTGTGAGTGTGAGCGTGAGCGTGTGTGAGGAGAGAGAGATGGGAGGACAGAGAGGTGGGGAGAGAGAGAAGAAATTAATTGAATGTCAATCATGAGGAAAATGGATAAAGTATGCTCTATCATACATTGGAATATATATGGTAATAAAAACAAATGACTTACAGTTACACATATTTACATGGACAAATATGAAAAACTGCCTTGAAAACTAAGTAAAACAAGGGAATATTTAAGTAAAATTGATATTAACGGTAACCTCTGGGTGCAGATAGGGATGGGATGGAATGAAGATGGAGCACACCGGGACCTTGAAAGTTATTGTAATATTATTTTCATTCAGCTTAATAGTGGGCACACAAGTATTTGTTTCATTATTATTTTTAAATATGTGTAGTAAATGCCTTTTTTGTATGTATATTTCAAAATCAAAATAGGATTTTAGAAAAATTTTAACTTAGAAAAACAGACTATTAAGTAGGTCATTGATACTCCCACATCTTCAATTTTTTTTTTTTTTTTTTCTGTACGCGGGCCTCTCACTGTTGTGGCCTCTCCCGTTGCGGAGCACAGGCTCCGGATGCACAGGCTCAGCGGCCATGGCTCACGGGCCCAGCCGCTCCGCGGCATGTGGGATCTTCCCGGACCGGGGCACGAACCCGTGTCCCCTGCATCGGCAGGCGGGCTCTCAACCACTGTGCCGCCAGGGAAGCCCACATCTTCAATTTTTTTTTAACCTCTTGTTTCTTTTACCCAAAATTTTATGAGTTATTTGTAACCATTTTTTTCCCTTAAGTGTAAGATAGCACTAAACTGATAAAACTGTAACATTTTAAAAAGTCTTTTGCAATCAGTGCCATCAAACTAGTTCATTTTAAATTAAATTGTTAGGATCTCTATTGTCTTTATAAAATGCAAGTCTTTGGGGCTTCCCTGGTGGCGCAGTGGTTGAGAGTCCGCCTGCCGATGCGGGGGACACGGGTTCGTGCCCCGGTCCGGGGGGAACCCACGTGCCGCGGAGCGGCTGGGCCCGTGAGCCATGGCCGCTGAGCCTGCGCGTCCGGAGCCTGTTGCTCCGCAGCGGGAGAGGCCACAGTAGTGGGAGGCCCGCGTACCGCAAAAAAAAAAAAAAAAAAAAATACAAGTCTTTCACAATAATGAGCTGGGTTCATATTTATGTGATTTCCATAATCTGTTGATAAAAAGAGATATAATTATTATTGCCCTCGACATAGATTACAGTGGACTTTACATTGGGCCAGAGAAAAAGCTTTATGAGTGAACTGAGAATTTTCATTGCTCAGTTTTCATGCATTCATCCTGTTTCCAGGAAAAATCATTACCAACAATGTATACATGTACATGTAATGAATAATTAATGAACGTATTTCGTACAGCTGGTGTTTTTTTTTAAATTGACACTACATGGCTGACTTTAATCTATATGTGAATGTGTATTTATTTAATAGGAAATTGCCCGGCATTTACGCCCTGGAACCCTCCGAGCAATCTTTGGTAAAACTAAGATCCAGAATGCTGTCCACTGCACTGATCTACCAGAGGATGGCCTATTAGAGGTAAGATGAAGAAGGGTAAGCATCCTATTTATATTTCAAACTCATAAATAATCTCAGCAGGTCTAGTGTGTAAGGAACCTTTTAATACTCTTGGATTACAATGTTCTTTGGCGGATAACTTTAGACTGCAACTTTAAAAGACCAAATTGTAGGATGCTGTAGTAATGGGGTAGTCTTCAAAGAACTAAGGTATTTTTCTGATTGGCATATAGTATGGTTTAAAAAGTAAAAAGCTATAGCATTGATTAAATAATGTGAAATTTATTTAAAAATCAGGTAAAAACACCATTACCTTAGGTTTCTAGTCATGATTTATCAATGAAATTGTGCAATGTGATAGCATTAAAAGTAATAGCTACCATTTTAACTTAGAAAAACAAAGACTTTTGACTTTTTATATACCAGGTTCTGTAATAATTATGATAAATGCTTTGTATAAATTTTTTTTTTAATCTCCACAGCAACTCTGATAGGTTGGCATTATCATGTCTGTTTTATCAGAAAAATGAAATTGAGACTCAGAGAGGTTACGTAACATCCTCAAATCAAACAGTTAATAAAGGACGAGGCCATATTTTGATTTCTCGTCTGTGTAATTAACATAACATAAGAAACAATGAAAAGAATTATAAGAAGATATAAGTGAAAAATTGGTGTGGTTTGGGATTAAGAAAGTCACTTCACAGCCAAGGGAAGGAGGCCTTAAAGAAAAGATTGGTATTTTTAACTTCTTATAGTTTAACTTCTTATAGTTTTGTGTCAGGAGGAGCTAAATGAAATTAAAAGACAACTGATAAATTTAAGTGATTAAAGCATGAATGACAGAAAAATGTTTGATATCCTTAATACATATTTATTTTAGTGAGTAATATGTTTTATATCAAATCTATCAGTCGTCTTTTTTTTTTTTTTTTTGTATCTTTAAAGCCTTTCCCAATATTTCGTTTCATTATCTTGCACTGAAACATTCAACTAGCCTGGAAAGCCTGGAATTAATTTGCTGAATGGTGTGAGGTATGGGTCTAGTCAGCTGTCACAACATTGCTTATTAAATCCTTTTATTCTTTGATTGTTATTTCTCATTTATTGAATACTTATATACACCTGTGCCTGTTTCGAACTTTCAGTTTTATTCTATTGGTCTGTGCCAGAAAAATACTATTTTTATTATTGCACTTTATACTTTTAAAAAGTTTTCTTGGTTATTCTCTTAAATTTATTCCTCCAAATGAACTTTACATGAGTTTACCAAGTTCTTTAACGTAGCGGTCCCCAGCCTTTTTGGCACCAGGGACCAGTTTAGTGGAAGACAATTTTCCAATGGACTGTGGGGAGAGGGGGAGGATGATTCAGGCTGTAGGCCGAGTGATGGGGGGCAATGGTTCAGGCGGTAATGCGAGCTATGAGTAGTGATGGGGAGTGGCAGATGAAGCTTTGCAGGCTTGACCGCTGCTCACCTCCTGCTGTGCGGCCCGGTTCCTAACAGGCCTCGGACAGGTACCGGTCCATGGGCCAGGGGTTGGGGACCCCTGCTTTAACCCACCCCCACAAGATGCCAATGGAACCTTGACTGACATTACAGTATGTTTATAAATTAATGTGGGTGTGACATAACTATAATAATAGTTCTCCAGCTGTGTATGTGGTATTGCCTCTTCTTTTATACCTCTTTTTTTATATGGGTCTTAGACATATAGCCTATTAAATTTATTTCTATGAGTTTTTGTTTTAGTTGCTATAAAGAGTGACTTTGCTACCTCCATTAAGATTTTCTGTCATAATCGAAGATGTTAATCTGCTAAAATCTTATCCAAACTGCACCGTAGTATGAAATGTAGACATGCATACTTCTGAAACATAAAACTGTAACAGATTTTATTTTTATTACACAAAGGATTAAATATTTACTTTATACTTTAACTTATTTTATAAATATTCCCTTTACCTTCTGATAACTTAGGACCTATAGGTGAAGCTTGAATTCAGACTGTTGTTCAGGGAAATTAAAAATTATTAACCGTGAATTTTATGCCCATTAAAAAATGTTACTGAAGGTATGCTTGTGATTTTGCGCATACAATTTGAAATAGATATTACTGCCTGCAGTTTACAGAGCCATTTTCTAAATGATTAAAATCTTTCTAACCAAACTACACAGGAGATTTAATTGCAAATTAATGCCTGTGTGGTTCAGAGAATTAATCAAAAACGGAAGGTAGAGCTCCAACAGCCTCCTTTCACCTTGCTGATGATTCATACTTGATGTGCCCTGGAATAAGTCACTTTCCATGCCTCCCTTCACTTATCAATAAAATGGAATTAAGAGTGCTGATACTGTCAAGGGATGTTCTGTTAGTTAGGGATTAACTATTTGCAGATTATCACTTAGCTTTAAATGGTAAAATTTTATTAAAACAAAACAAAACACTATGAGGCCCAAAGAGTTATCTGCTCATAGGTTTTTAAAGTGAAATTTAAAGTGACACAAAGATAAGCTCTCTGATCAGGGAAGCACTTTGTACTTAGATCTACTATTCATTAAAGGAACATCCTTTAGATGTAGAGTGACCATGAAATGTATCGCCCAATCTAGAATTAATCAGCCAGGATGTTAGGCCAAAAGGTATAAACAAGAACTGTCATCAGCACACTGGTGTCATGGGTTCCCTAATTATATGGCAAGAAGGGAAAAAAGGGAGCAACCTACTTCTCCTTTTTCTCATGTGATGTTTACTGACCTAGGTTTTTTGTGTCATATGTGTAGAGCTCAGAAAGTATGGTTTCCATTTATATTTTGTCACCATCCATGATTTTATTTACTTACTCTTAACAGCAAACAGTTATAGAGTGTGTTTTACTTGCTAACACTGTGATAGGATTTCAAGATCAAGCAAGATATTTCCTCTGTCCTCAATGAGCTCACAAAGTTTTAGAGGTCAAGGATCTTAGCATGAATATTGAAATCTGATTTCATTACATGCTGCTGTTGTGACACAGCCACTTTTGTGGTTATAGGGAAAAATGACAGCATCTGTATAGTATGAGACATTCTAAGATGTTATTTTGCTGGTAACATGCACTGAGACTCTATTGGTAGTAATTATGAAGATCTTAAATTTGTGCTTTAGAGAAAGCATTAGTGGAAAAAATGTTTAGCTTAACTTGTAATAAAGAAATACTCGTTTTCCACTAATGGAAAAGAATTTTTAAAGTATCAGTGCCCACTTCTGGTAAGGTTACCGTAAAATAGATACCCTCGTATTGCTGGTGACAGCTATGTGGCAGCAGGTATTGAAAGCCATGGGGTTTTTCCATACACGTTGTCCCAGAATTCTACTTCTTAGAATCTCACCAAAGGAGTAGGAATAGAAGCAGGACTACTAAATGGAAAGTTTTCTGCACAGATGTTCACTTAAGAAATATTTGTGGTAATTAAAATTGGAGATAGGGTGCATGTCTAAAGATATATCTGATGTTCTTTCCTCTGATTAGGCTTCCATGACACCCGTAGTCTGCATCGGAGGCTCATCTGTGTGTTTTCATAGCGCTTTGCTTTCCTCTAATACAGTAGTGTAGTCAAGAGTCAACATAGATCTGTACTCCAGGGTGACTTATTTCATTGTGCCTAGGATTCCTCATTCTGTAAAAGGAAGATGATAGCGGTGCCTGACCTTTCAGGTGGCATAGTGTCTAGCACACAGTAATTGCTGAACAAATGATAACAATTATATTATTATTATTATTATTACAGCACATTTTGTTGGCTTGTAGATATTTCCCCATGAGACTTAGTGCTCATAGGGAAGAGATTCTGTCTTGCCTGGCCTATAAAAACTTTAATAAGTCATTTTTGAAGGAAAAGACAGAAGAGTTTGGTTAAATAAATTGTTGTTCATGTACTCAGTACCAAAGTATGTAACCTTTTTTCTTTAAGGTTGATAAATGAAGACTCTGTAGCAGTGGTTTCTAGCCTTGGTTGCATGTTAGAATCACCTGAACAGTTTTTAAAATACTGATGTCCAGACCCACCTTGAAAGATCCTAATTTTTTTAAAAAAGTAATTTCAAGCTTAGTATACAAAACTTTTTAAAAATAAATGTCTGGGATTAAGTTGCCAACATAATGTCCCATTTTTCTGAGTACTTTAGTGTGTATTTTTAACATACAGGGACATTTTCCTACCTAACCACATCACAAGCATCTAAATTAGGAAATTAATGTTGATACATTACCACTATCGAATCTTCAAACTCCATTCAAGTTTTGCCAGTCAATAACCAATGGATCTTTAGTAGCAAAAGGGTTCAGGTCAGAATCATGCATTGCGTTTAGTTTTGCCCTTACTTTCTTACAATCTAGAGCAGTTCCTCAGATTTTCCTTGACTTTTGTGACCCTGACACCTTTGAAGATAATAAGTAGAGATTCTAATTCAATTGAGTCATTCATTCCTTTGCTCATCAGAAACTTTTCTAGATGGCTTGCACCTACAGTTCAAACAAGATACTGACATATTTATTTTATTGTATGGCATATACTCTTTATGCAAAGTCATTTGTTGGCTTTCCGTTGTCCATGAAAATGTGTGATGCCTTTTTGATGTTGTGACTCCGCATTGTGTCTTCCTCCCCTCTATCCCCTTTAGCATTAGCCCTCCTCTCACCCATGTCACTGATGATACTTCTGAGGGTCAGTTTTACTTTCTTCTTGCTTTCTTTATCTCTCCCAAAGCTTTATTGAAAAAATATATATATTCCTCTGCCTTTCGTTTTTACTTCTGTAGTCTGTTCCCAGGACTGTCTTTCTCTGATTATCTTCAACACTTTACATGTACTGTAATTGAAATTCTCAAAGTTGCCTAATAGGTATGTGGTAGAAAATTCAAGTGTGTTTGAAGTTTGAATTCTGTACACCAAAATGATACATTGGTCATTCACCCAGATTCATCAGTCATTCATCCAGGTATTTACATTTTTTTAAAACTAAAAACAGCACTGGGGAC